GATCTGAACCCGGGCAGCTGAATCGGAGCTGCCAGACTTATCCACTACACCATGGGACTGGCCCCAGGTTGCTACCATTTATATTCCATTGTTCAGATGAGGACACAGAAACTCTGGGAGGTTACAGAACGTGCTCAAGGTCACCACCTGGTAAAGGACAGAGCTAGGGTTTGAACCCAGGCCAGTCTGACTCTAGAACTTGTGTTTTTAACTACTCTGTAATGGTATAACCTTGAACTGGACTCAGGGGTTACCAGGCAGAGGACAGACTTGGAAGAGGGGCAAAGTCAGGGGCTGGTGAGTAACAGTGACATGGGGACATTCAGGCAATCTCCCAGGATTGGGGATGATGGGGAGGATGGGGAGGATGCAGGAGCAGACCGAGGGGGCTGCAGCTGGGCGGGCTGGGGGAGGTGGAGGTGCTCACTGCGGGCCACGATCTCGCCCTGCAGCTGGTGCCGGGCTAGGTCGAGCACCCAGAAAACAGCATAGTCCAGGAAGACCAGGAGCAGCACCAGGAGGAGGTGCCGAATAAGGTTGAAGGTTGCCATGATGTAAAAAATTTGCTCCCACCGGGACAGGAAGATGGAGCCTGTGTGGAGGAGTGATGGTCAGGAGGATGCTCCCCATTTCTCCCATTGGTTTTGACCCCCTGATTGAGGCGGGGCCTGTTTGCTTATCTGGAAGATGTGGAAGCTGTGAGGACCCCTGGGCAAAGGTGGGAAGCCCTCTTCATGGGCAGGGGCTCCAGGGCCAGAGGTGGAGGCCCAGCATCTCCACCTAGGCCCAGTGGCCCATTTCCAGTCTCCAGGAACCCTCCCTCCTGGGGCATCCCTGATCCTCTTATTGGGGCCCCGCCTCACAGACAGTCCCCCTAGGCTGCAACTCCTCTGTATTGGCACATTCACACCTCCTGTCCCCCACCCCTGAAAGCTTTCCCATCTTCACTTCCCTTACTCCATATCCACTCCCCACCCAACCTTCCCTCCCCTGACTCACTCTCTCTGCATGCTGCTGCGAGGGGCCCTACTTTCCCCAGACTGACGGCTCCCCAAGGACAGGACTGTGTCTCCCCCTAGCCTGAAATTTCCTTTAGCTCTGGGCTGTCTCTCTCTCTGGTCCTGCCCCAATCCAGGCCTGTGCATGGGGCGTAGGGTTAGGACAGTGGAGTTGGGGGAAGCCCTGGCCTGCCTCAGGGTCCCCATCCCCCCGTGCTCTGGCCCTCACCCGGCTGGATGTAGTGTCTGGCCTCGTGGGCACTAAGCGGCAGCACTGTGGGCAATCCCGCCATGGAGCGGACGGCTTCCATGTGCATGAAGCGGCTGGTGATGTAGATGTTGTCGTAATGGTCCCAGTTCAGGTAACAGTACCGGTAAAACAGGGCTCTGGTGGAGCGCACGTGAGGCCTCTCAGCACCCATGTCCAGACCCCAGAGGGCAGCAGCCTCCCCACCCTGCCCTCAAATTCTAGCCTCCCAGGATAATGTGGGGATGAGCTGGCCCCCAGCAGCCCTCGCGCCCCACTCCCCAGACCCGCCCTGCAGCCGCTCACTGGAGGTAGAGCAGAGTGAGCAGCAGAGGTGTGGTGTAGCCCATCAGAGCCAGGGCCTCACGGACACGGTACAGCTTCATGCTGACAGCCTCGTGGAGGTCCAGAGCTACCTGGGACAGGCTCCGAGAGGCATTGAGGTCCACAGAGAAGTGGTGAGTGGCTGTCACATTGAACTCAAACTCTTGACGCACCCGGTTAATCAACTTCATCACAGCTGGGGCCAGCAGATCCCAAGGAGAGGTGAGCAAGGAGAGTTAGGAGGGAGCAGAGCTGCACCTGGGAAGGGCCTCGGCACAGCCCAGGGGTCGCACAGCTCACAGACCAGCCAGGAACCCCCAGCGTCTGGACTTATGGTGGACTGAGGAGGGGTCAAAGCCTCCACAATCTGTGCCATGGCCACTGCACGCCCAGCCCCAGAATTACCCTCCATAATGAAAGACCTCAATGAGCCACCCTGGGGCAGGAGGCCCTGGTTCTCTCCCCAGCTCCTGCTCTAAAGTCAAGTTTTGGTGAGGCGCCTCCCCTTTGCTAAGCCTCAATCTCCTAATTTGTACAGCATGGACATTTGGCCCGGGTAACCTCCTGAGGTCCTTTCTTGCTCCTGCATTCTCATCCATGGGCTGCAAACACTCCGGGGATGGCAATGGCCATGCGAGGATGAAGGAGGGAGACCGCCCAGAAGCACAGCACGCAGGGCTGGGAGGGGATCACTCACGGGTGCCAATGGTCTTGCGCAGGAAGGGTTGGATGTACTTGGGGATGACGCAGAACACTTGAACCGCTGTGAGCCAGATGCTGAGTGTCAGGAGAGGCAGAGAGATGCAGCCTGCCTCTCCCACCTCCAGGGACCTCATTCTCACAGGGACCTCTTGATTTTTCGCTTTTCCTACTGGCCTCTACATTGGCTCAAAACCTTTTGGCTTCTCCCTATTACCCAACCCCCACATTGGTTCCTCCCTGTCTCCCTGCCACCCCATACTGGGCCCAGCATCCTTATTGGTCCCATATTCATTACTTCCTATTGGTCCCCTGGGTCCACCTTCCCAACTGACCCATACATTTGCCAGGTCCCCAGTCCTGCCAGCGAGCCCCTGGCTTTCTCACCACTGGCGAGTCCACAGAGCACCAGCTTGAAGGGCATGAGCACGTAACACAGGTGGTAGGCTTGTGGTATGACCTTCATGCAGTTGTCTTTGGCATCATCAAAGACCCGGGCACACTTCAAGTAAGGGTTTCCCAGCTCGGCGTTGCACACGTCGCCGATGTGCAGGAGCCAGTACCACACGTTCCGCAGGGCCCTGGCTGGGGACAGCTGTGGGGCTGGTACCCAGGGCTGGAGTTCTGCAGCATCTTCTCAGGGGGTTGGGGAACATCAGGACAGCACCCACAGCTGGAGAGGCCTGGTCAGGGGCCTGGCTGTGCCGTGTCCCGTGGGGACTAGTCAGCACCCAGGACGGGCCCAAAAAGTCCTGGACAGAGATGAGAGTGAGCAGACTGGGTGAATTTTGTTCCCCCAAAAACAGACGTGCTAATGTGCTGACCTACGTGCTTCACGCCATCCATGATTGACCGAAAGAACTTGCGGACCCGGTCAGCCACCTCTTTGGCCTTCTGGGCAATGGCTTTAATCTTGTTGAGGGCACCTGAGAGGCAGGGGACAGGGGGATTGTGGGGGTCTCCTCCTCTAGGCGCTGGGGCAGGGAGTGGAGAAGGGGCTGCCACCCAGGAGGTGGGAAGCTGGGAGCTTGGGTCTGGGAGACAGTTCATCGGGCAGTGGAGCAGGCCAGAGAGCAAGGATAAAGGGGTCTAACCAGGTGCTTTGAAGTTGGGGCCCAGTGCCAGCAGAGAGGAATGAAGCCAGAGGACTGTAGAACATGCAGGACAAGGGGGACATGAGGGTCAGCGGGAGATGGGGGGGGCCTTACTGACAAGGGGCTGCTTGGCCCGCTCCAGCATTTCGGCCGTCTGGTTCAGGGCCAGTTCTGCCCCACAGGCCACCGCCTCACTGGCCCGGGTGAAGTTGCGCAGGGTGTTGGCACAAGGTCCTTGCAGCACCAACCCAAAGGCAACCACCAACAGCAGTGCCCGGCCCTGCTCTGGGGGAGACAACGCCATCAGAACCAGGACCCAGGCTTGCACATGGCAGCATGTAAGTCACTCAGAGAAGCCTTAAGAATATTTCCCTCGTCCTGCCCCCTCCCCCAAGATCCCTTCTGCCCCAGCCCCTGCCCGCCCCCTCTGGGTGCCAGGCTCACTGGAGAAGGCCTGGGGCAGTAGCAGGAGGACTGTGACTCGGACCTGGCGGGAGAATCCCATGCCCAGGCTAAGGAAGGCAGCCAAAGTGAAGGTGCCCACCAGGCAGCCCCAGGGGCTGTGCCCTTCCACCAGCAGCTCCAGGAGCCCATAGGCCGTGGCTAAGGACAAGCCCAGGGTGAAGCCCCCCACGCTGCGGACCACAGCCCGCGCCATGCTTGGCTCCTCAGCCCCCGAGGGGCGCACAACATCCTTCATGATTTTGGCCATAGCTGCTGAGACCAAATGTCTGCCTGTCTCCAGGAGATGCCCCCGGGGTTCTGTGGCTCTTCAAGGGTCCTGGAATTTCTCACCACATTCTGAGGTTCCGAAGGGCTATTACTGTGTATATCTTGGAATTCCTGACCCAGTAGCAAAGACTGGGGAAGGGTTAGGTAGGTCTCTAATCTCCTTCCCCACATCTCAGAGCAGAGGGATTGAAAGACACAGAGCTCAGACGGCTGTGGGTGAAGCAGAGGAGACAGAGCAGAATCTCACGTCCAAAGACATCCTTGAGGAGACTTCTGGGATGAGACAGGGTTGCCCAGAGCAGACTTATGGGCATCAGATCTCATCAGAATGGAGCAAAGGGGCAAAGGAGGAAACTACCCCATACCAGTGAGTCAGTCACCAGAGACCCCGCCCCTTCCCAGCATCTCCCAGCCTCCACCCCTCTCATCCAGTGCCCTCCTCCAGCCTAGCCCTTTCTTATCTCCCTCGCATCTGCCCCTCATCCTCCTTCAGGATCCCCCAAGTTCCTGCCACCCTCATCCAGGTTCCCCCAGCGTCTACCCCTCTTCATGCCCCTAATCCTAATGAACCGCGTCCCAGCCAGAAGAGTGGGCTGTTGGCTCTGCTGGGCTAAACTGTTTGACCCCTCAGCGGTGCAGAGGCTCCTGAGCTGGGGGCTACCCATCTCCTGTAGCCGATTCCTGTGGCGCCAGCCGGGCGAGTTTCCAGTCACTGCTTTCCTGCTGGGGGCAGGCACCGGGGGGCTCCTGGCCATAGGTAAATGGGGAGCAGAGATCAGGGGTGGGACCCATCTTTTGACCTTTGGCTTGACCCTGTGCCCTTAGGTCTCTTTCAGCTGCTGGTGAACCCTATGAACATCTATGAAGAAGAGAAGATGGTGATGTTGTACAGCTTGGTGGGTTAGTGCCAGCCTAAGAACAGGGACACTCAAGAGGCCCGTGGAACATGGCCCAGTCCTGGGTGCCCAGGAAGGAGTCTGGGCTTGTTTCTTCTGTACCTAAGTATCCCTCGTGGCCTCTGCCTCGTCTCGGGCTTTGAAAGGAGATCCAGAGGGGAGAGGCCCCCCGTCTATGGAAGACACAGTCCTTGCCCTCTAGGGTCTCCCAGTCTGAAGGACTTCCTGTTACCTGCATGATATAGTCCAAACCCCACGACCCTTCATAATCCCCATCTCTCCTAACCTCTCTGGCATTGCTTCCTGCTCTTCCTCATAAATTCAGTTCAATTCATTCATTCATTCATTCATTCATTCATTCAGCACTAATTGAGCACCTGCTGAGGATTTAGCAGTGAACGAGGCTGGCAAGCACCCAGTTCTTTTGGAGTTTACCTTCTCTTTTAGAGTTTACATTCTAGTGGAGAGAGCTAGATAATAAATGAACAAAAAGTAAACAGGAGCATTTCTGATGATGACAAACAGTATGAAAAAAGTCAACCAGGATGTGATCAAAAGGGGCTGGGGAGTTACCCTAGCTTTGAGTAATCAGGGAAGGCTTCTCAGAGAAGGTGACGTTTGAATGGAGACCTTCTATCAGGAGGTACTGGGCTGCAAGAACAGAAACCCCACCTAAAAGTAGTTTAACCATACAGAAAGTTTATTATCTCATATAACAAGTTTCAAGGTAGAATGGTTTTGGAGTTTGGATAATTCAGCAGCTTGGTAAACCCACCAAGGACCCAGATTCCTTTTGTCTTTTTTCTCTGCCATCTTTGGCCTGTCAACCACTCCTCTTCAGGTCATGAAGTGGCTGCAGCAAATCCAGGCATTACATCTTCATACAACAATGTCAAAAGACCAGAACATTCCTTCCTCATGTCTCTTTTAAGAACAAGAAAAACTTTCCTGTAATCCCCCCAGCCAACTTGCCCTCACATCTCTTTGGTCAGAAACCAGCACCTGCCCTTTCCGAAACCTCTCCCAGGCAAGGGGCATGGAACTGGCACCATCACCGGTTTATTGAATGAACTAACCTCTGTGGGATACCAACAGGAAACTACTTTCTCTCTGACCTTTCAAACCTGTTCTCCCATTGATGACCTTTCACTCAAACCCTTGGCTGCCTGGTTATTTTCATTTGGAAGACCTAATCCTGCTTCAGTAATTATGACTATTTTTAGGGTTTAAAACGTCTCATCCAGACTACATCAAAATTTCAACCTCACGTCCATTCTCAGTCATCCTCCCTCCTGTTACCCCGGGTCCCCCAGCTCAGGCCTGATCCCTGGCATAGGGTCCTGCTGTGGAGAAGGGGGCACGGCCTGTTCTTTCTCTTTTTTCTCCACTTCCTTCCCCTTCTGGTTCTTCTGATGTCAGAAAAGGGAATTAGAAGAATTAGAGGAAAAGGGACAAAAGTCTGAAGTCACTGATACTGTTATAATCCCACTGCCTCTGTGTGGCAAGTGCTCACACCCTGGCTATCTCAGGGGGCCCTTTTATGGTCTCCTTGGAAGCTCTGTGTGGACCTTACACAGCCCAGTTTCCTGCCGAAGGCAGTTCTATTTGGCTGCCCTCGAATGAAGCTCCCGAAGCGCCTGCAGACCACCCACAGCCTCTTACTTTTGGATCCCTCCCCCAAAGCAGGCTGCCCTCTTGGCTGGAGAACTTCACAGATAGCTTGAGGCCTGCTGCCCTCCAAAACGTCCACTTGTCCCAGAGGACATGCACACATCCTTGCCCTGCCAAGCCGGGACAGCAGGCTACCTCGCGCTGCCCTCTCCCCTGCTGTGATGAGAAGCCAGTACCGCTCCCCACACGCCCAGAGAGGCCTTGCTGAGCACTCCCGTGAACTCTCCTCCATTCTGCGCTCCAGTGGTAGCTCTGGAGTGGCCCTACCAGGTTCTGCGACTCAGCAGGAGTCTGACCCTGGGTGGAGGGGCGGGACACATGAGCTAGCATCCCCTTCCTGCAGCACCAGTCTCTGAAGCGTTCTCTGTGGAGTCTCTCATCTGACACGGGGAAGGGGACACCCATCCTCTCCCTGGACTCTTCTCCCATGTCCACCTACTCCAACCCCTTCTCTCTCCTTCCAGAAAATTTAGATTTCTGCTCTTGTCTTTCTATAGACTGGTTGGGGTGGAGGAGGGAGAGACTAGTTTTGCTCTTTGATAAGCCCAGAGAGGTTATCTGTGGCTCCAGGGGGCTCTCTTTAGAATGTAGAGCAACTCTCTGTCAGCTATCATCCTCAGCTTGAGTCTTTGGCCAAAAGGCCGAGACCGTGGAACAAGCCCCTTTCAATGTCCTGTTCTACCATTATTGGCTTAGACAGATCCAGATTTACCCCCAGGGGCCGGGGCAGGGACAGGCTGCTGCCCTTGAACAAAACCCAAGTTGTGTTAGCAAGGAAGAAGGGAGAACAAACTGTTGGGTGGCACCAGACAGGGTTTGCAGCAAACCTGTATGGCTAGGTGGAGCCAGCCAGGTGAGGAAAAGGAGGAGGAGTGCTCCTGGCAGGGGGAGCAGCTAGGGCAAAGATCTAGGGGGAGGAATGAGCTTGGCATGTTCCAGGAACAGCTACTATGCCTATGTGGGCAGACATGGTGGGTGAGGGGCTGAGTGCCATGAGATCATCTCAGAAGGTAGGCAGGGGCCAGATCCCGCGGGTCTGGAGACCAGGTCCAGGGATTTTGGGTTTGATTCCAAGTGTGGTAGAAAGTCACTGGAAGGTCGGAAGCAGAGAAGGGACATGATCTGATCTATGTTTTGACAAGATCACTCTGGCTGCCTTGTGAAAACTGAAGCATAAGTTAGCAAGAGAGGAAGCAGGAGACTAGTTAGTCCCAGTGAGAGGTGATGGGGCCTCCGTGAGGGCAGTGGAGATGGAGGGAAGTGGAAGGACTTGGGATTTGCTTTGGGGATCCTTGGGCGGACACTCTATCAACACAGGAATCTTCTAGGTTCCTTGACCAGTATGCTGTTCCTTTGGCCTGGAATGTCGTTGGTGCCTCCTAACAACACTTACTCATCCTCCAGGCCCAGCTGACACATCATCTGCTTTGTCCAGCCTTTGCGGCCCCACCCCTCCCTGCAGAAATGCCCACTCCCTCTTCGGCTCCCACAGCGCTTCATAAGCACCTCCCTTGTGCCCTTCACACTTCGTGCTGTAGTCATTTGTTTACTTGTCTGTCTCTCTCCCTGGATTATGAGCTTCAAGGAGCTCACTGTCTCCTCACAGAGACCACAGGGAGACACATGTGAAACTGCTAAAACAGACCAGGAGGTACGCGCTGGAGGGCTAAATTAGGGGCAGAGGCCGTGAGTGCTGTGGGCGTCAGAGCTCGGGGTACGGAGGTGGCGCTGACCTCTCTTCTCACTGCTCTGAGCCACTGCCTGTTTCCAGAATGTTTTTCTTGCTCTCTGCCCCCTCAGCACCTAGGGTAAGTGTGAGTCCAGCCTGGAAATGGGAAGTGTTGGCCGCCTTCCGTAACAAAAACACACACTCAGATACACACACAAAGTCAATCACGTACCATGGCTTTTCACTCTGTAGCCATCTCTCCAAGTCCCTCCAGAGACTGCTACACAGCTGACCTCTGCAAATGGCTGTTGAGTAAATGAATGAATGAGTGGCCTAGAAGGCCTATCAGAGTCTGTACAAATGGGGACAAGGGCAGTAAGGTGATGGTTCTAGAAGGCAGTTGCGGGGAGTGGGGGATCCGGGAAACCTGGTGGGTGGGGCAGCTTCCTCACTCTGGCTCCCCACCTCCTGGGCTCTCCTGACAGGCTTGGGGGCCGTGGGCTGGGGGACCTCCCCTCACATCCGCTGCGCCAGCCTCCTGCTAGTACCCAAGATGCTGGGCAAAGAGGGCAGACTCTTCGTGCTGGGATATGCCTTGGCTGCCATCTATGAGGGTGAGTGTGTGCCCCTGGGTCCCAGTTAGTGACACTGAAGCAGTGGCCCTGGGTGGGCCACCCAATGAGAGCCAGGCCCAGTGAAGGAGAAAGAGTGGGAGTCTAATCCCAGCCCCTCCAACTTGCTGTGTGTCCCTCAGAGAGTTCCTCCACATCTCTGGGCCTCCTCAGTTTACACAGGCAAAAAAAATCAGAGGTTGAATGAGACAACCTCTCATAAGCTTCTGGGCCCTATCATTGTACGGTTCTAGAAGGTGGTCACTGCACACAGAGCAGGAGGTAGGGGTGGGCTTAGGAAAGTTAATTAGCTCTAGAAGGAGACGATTCACCAGGGCATCTTCCCCCAGGACCAGTGGCCAACCTGCGGCACAACCTCAACGAGGTGATAGCATCGCTGGGCTGCACCGTGGAGCTGCAGATCAACAACACGCGAGCGGCCTGGCGCATTTCCACAGCCCCGCTGCGGGCAGTGTTCAAGGACCTGCTGGTCAGGACCCTGCAAGGGCAGGGCCAAGGGGACCCTCTCCCCAGGGAGCCTCGATGATGAGCTGGGAGCTATGACTCTAGATGTATAGTTTCCCAATGGGGATACTACTGGCATTTTTTGCAGGACTATCCCCAAACATTGTAGGGTGTGCTCTGGTCCGTAGGCACTAAATGCCAGAAGAGCCCCCGCCCTCAGACATTGGGACACGCCCCACAGACAGTTCCAAACACCTGAGTAGGCCTGGGCAGCTGAACTAGAATGTCAGGAAATTGGGGGCCTTGGCCCTGAGGAGTCAGGAAGCTTTAAGGACCAGGGGATTCAGGAATTGGGTATTGGAGGACTGGAGGTTGGGGGTTTGGGAGGACTGCGGAGTCAAGTAGTTGGGGAGATGGGCGCTGAGGGGACTGGAGTCGGGGACAGTGAGATGGCATAGTTGTCTAAGAGATTCGTGATGAGGGGTGAAGTCCAAGGGCCTGGGGAACCCTTCCTTGACTAGCGAGGATCTGGGACCAGAGGCCTGAGGAGGAGCTGGGAGCCTGGGAGGTGAGCAGAGCACGGGCAACGGGGGAGAGGAGAGGGCTCCCAAGGACCGTGAACCATGGAGAATTGGAGGTGAGGGGGCATCTCAAGGCCTGGGCTCCCTATAGGCCTGAGGGAAGAGCCCAAAGCTTGGCTGATGGCGGGAGGACAGGCTCTGGGTCAGCAGAACCATCCCTGATCCACCTTCCTTCCCCTAACCCCCAACCCTAGAGCAGCAAAGATTCACTGAAAGCTGAGACTCAAAACATCTCCAGCTCCTTTGAGGACCTGGACACCCAGGTAAATAGTGAGGCTGGCTACACACCTGAGGATGCTGTGGACTCAGAGGAGACAGCCCAAGGCGCAGAGACTTACCGAGCTGCAGCCTCCAGACACCACCTCTCTACACAGAAGATGTATGAGCTGAAGACCAAGCTGCGTTGCTCCTGTGAGGGGTGTCCCTGGGCGGGGCAGGGTGGGGCTGGCCCGGGGCTGGGGCTCCAAGTCAGCGTGTGCAGACCTCAGACGCCCCTTGCCCCTTCCCACAGATGTGGTGAACCGGGCTGTACTCAGCTGCCGCCGCTGGTTTGATCAAAAGCACAAACACTGCATGCAACGCATCTGGGTCCCGCTCCTCAACCACCTGCTCTGCCTGCCCATGAAGTTCAAGTTCTTCTGTAGCATTGCTAAGGGTCAGCACAGTGGCTGGAGGGTGGAGAGCACCAGGGCCAGGGAGATGAGTCCTTGGGGGCCACTGGGTAGGTGCGGGGTAGGAAAGCAATCAGGCAGGGAGGGGTTAGGCTCTGAGGACGTGGCACCCTCAGAACCCAGCCCCTCCACTGACTGGCTTTGTGATCTAGAGTAAGTTTACAGCAAGGTTCTGAGCTCCGGTCTCTTCTCAAAGATGGGCATAGCAATAGTACTTATCCCGTTAGAGTTTTTGATGATTTAAGGGAATAAGACATGTAAAGCAGGTAACAGAGCTGGCACACAGGGAATTGCTCTATAACTGTTGGCTGTCATTGTTAATATTTGGTATTGCTATAGACAGGTGAAAAAACGAAGAAAATCAGGCCTTGTTCCTGGGAAAAAGAAGTCAAGGAGAGTAGAGAGAGGAAAGACTCAGTGTGGTAGAAAGTCATGGGCAGAGAGACAAAAAAGCAGGGTGGAGAGGATCACAGGAAGGAAGGCCTGGAAGCGGGGCATGGGGAGGCCCCTGACCTGGCCCCACTGCCCAGCAGTGATGGAGGTCTGGTGCCGCAGTCGCATCCCAGTGGAAGGCAACTTTGGGCAGACCTACGAATCTCTCAACAAGTCTATTCACGGGCTAAGTGGGGAATTTTCAGCCACTATTGACCTCAAGGTAGGAGGCAGGGACATGTGGGGTAGGGGGAGACAGGGAGCGAGAGGAGGGCACAGGGAATAGGGCCTGAGGAAGGGCAAGTGAGAGGGCACGGGAGAGAGGTGACTGGGTGTGAGGGAGGAGGACCAGGAGGGGAATGGCATCGGTGTTGGGTGACAGGGAGGGGAACAGTGTCAAGCCTGTGGTATGCATCCACCTGACCGTGGGATGGAATGGTCAGCCAGGTGTGAGAGGGTGTCAGCTCTACAGGTGTAGGGGAGAAAGACTGTGCCAAGGAGGGTGGCGAGCAGAAGGAAGCAGCACCTCCTGAAGGTCCTGGGAAAAGCAGGGGGACGTGAGTGGAACACCAGGGGAGAGATGCCACAGAGAGCCTGGGTCTGGGCCTATGAGGCTGCAGCAGGCTGAGCCCACACCTGTGCCCTCCACCAGCAAGAGAAGCAGGCTGGGATTCTGGGCCTCAACACGAGCTGGGAGCACGTGAGCACCGAGGTGCGGGACTACGTGAGACGCCAGGAGGCCCAGCTGGAGTGGGCCCTGGGGCTGCTGCACGTGCTGCTCTCCTGCACCTTCCTGCTCATCCTCCGCGCGTGAGACACAAACCCTAACCCCAGAAGCCCCTTCCTTCCCCCATTCTGGACTGGAGCGCTGCCCTGAGGGAGCCTGTAAGAACAGAGCTGTGGAGCCCACCTCCAGCTCTGAACGTGAATGTTCTTGTGCCTTTAACTTGGCCTTTGTATAAAGTTGGGTTCGTTGTTTACACAAAGTTAAAGGAAATGTGGACATTTTATCAGAAGAAACGTTACCCATGTTCCCACCACCTTAAAAGGGTGACCGTCTTCATTTATCTACCTCCTTCCAGCCTTTATCCCAATGCTGACTTTTTTTTCACTTTTAGCTTTGACTTTTGATTTTTTTCTTGCCCTTCATATTCCCCTTGGCGCTGACTTTGTGCCATTTTTATCGTCCAAGTCTGCTTTCATTTTCTCCCGCCTGCTGCGTTGGCAGCTACTTTCCCTCCATTTGGACCAAAGTCCTCAACCCCACCCAGCCCAGCGTCCAGCTGGGCTTCCCTGGGCCTCGCTGTTCCCCTGCCGACCTCTGGACCCTCTATTTCTTGGCTCCGCCTCCACATGCCTGAGGTGGGCAGGGGCCGGGCAAGGGCAGCCACAGGGGCTCTTGCTCTGTCTGGCCCTGTTTGTGGCCCCTAGAGTGCCTGTGAGTGAGTGGTTATGTATGCGCCTAGGGCCCTGTGGGAAGACAAAGAATGAGCTATACCCCCTGCCCTCAAGAAGCTCATGGTCTAGAGGAGGCAAGAGAGGCATCCACCAAACAGAGATGGAGCAAGGGCTGTACTATGGACTGGCTCTCCGGACAGGTGTGGGAGCTGAGGAGGTGCCCCTACAAGAGCCATAACTGAGCTTCAAAGGCTGCCGATGGGGAGCCATGGTCAAGGAGAGGTAGGGTGTCCTGGTGGGCAAGGATCCTGACATCTGTGAGAGGTGGAGGGCAGAGGCCAGAGTCGAGGACTGGGCTGAAGAGGGCATGGCCAGAACAGTGTGGAAAGCCCTGCAGGAGGGCACTGAACTGGGGGCAGTTGCAGGATGGACTGGGCAGGCTGGAGGCAGGGAGGCCAAGGTGGAGCAGAGGTTAGGGAGCGTGGCTGGAGTGGGGCCTGGCAGGAAGTTGGCCTGAGAGGGAGGGAGGGAGGGGAAGGTACAGCAGGTCTCAGAGCCAGCTGGGGGAGGGAAGGAAGGAGGCAAAGAGTCAAAAGCCACTTCCAGGCTTTCAGCCTGGGCGAGGTCACTCGCTGAACGGGCAGAGCTGGCCAGGGCAGGGTCCAGGCTCCAGAGGCCCACGCACAGCAGCAGTAGGTCTCTCCACAAGGGGGCGCTCACAGTCTTTCTTTGCATTCATAGTTATTTCTCTCTTAGAGGCAAAGATGTGGATTTTCACGGGGTCCCAGAACCAATAGCATTGGAACTCATGTTTCACAGTTTACAGAGCTTATTTCACATAATTTTACAGTTTTAAACACATTTCCAACAATTAGCATTTTTTCCTCAGGAAACTGAAGTATTACACGGGACTTTGGAAGATACACACAGGAGAGCTACATATGCGCACACACGCATGCACACAGAAAATATGGCTGTACTCAAGGGTGTGTTAGAGGAGAAGGGATATGGTGGTGTGGAATGAGTTTGGCTTTAGCTGACCTCCAGGAGATGTTTTGCAGGCTCAGCCAAGAGGCAGGGTCTTGAGAGGTAAATGTACAAGTCATAAGGGATCAGGTGATTCCTGCAGCCTTGAGGGGTTTCCTGTCTCTGTGCCTTTGCTCCTGCTGTTTCCTCTGCTTGATATTCATCCTGCAAGATCCACGCCTGGGAAACCTTCCCCTACCTCCCATGCACACACATGCACTCCCACCTCGCTCCTTCCCTCCCTCCCCTCCTCCCCTCTGTTGTCTCCTCAGCTGTGTATGTTCATGTCTTTCATTGACTGTGGGCTGCCAGAGGGCAGGGCAGAGTCTTCTCTAGAACCCAGGTGGTGCTCAGTGCATGTTGGTTGGTTGGTTGAATGACTGTGTGTCAAGGAAGCCTGTGGTTGGGGTGGGTGAAGAGAACCTGGAGGAGATGGAGACATCCTCGTCCATAGGTCCTTCTCCTACGTGGACAGCTATAATGGAGACATTCGCTTTGACAACATCTACATCAGCACCTACTTCTGTCAGATCGATGAACGCAGGAAGAAGCTGGTGAGTGCCCTGCTGTGTGCTCTGTGCAGCTTCATGCTCCAGGAGGGCACAGGGGAAAGGGGAGAGGGCCCCTAGTGTTCTTCACTGTGTGGATGTTTTTTCCAGGGCAAACGGACTCTGCTGCCATTCCGCAAAGCGGAGGAGAAAACTCTCATCTTCCCTTTCAAGCCTGCTATCCAGGCCTCAGAAATGAGAAACGTGGTGAGGACGGAGTCGGGGGCAGGCCTCTGGAGGCAACTATAGGCATGGATCTGAGGGGTGGAAGGCAAAGGCATCCGAGGGCTCCATGCCAGGGCAGGGGCACCGCCCAGCTCTACTCCTCTTGCTCCTTGGGCAGATCAGGGAGCTCGTGGAGACACTGCCCGTTCTGCTGCTGCTGGTGGTGCTGTGTGGCCTGGACTGGGCTCTCTACTCCATCTTCGACACCATCCGCCACCACTCCTTCCTGGAGTACTCCTTCCGCAGTGCGTCTGCACCCCGCTCCAGGCCCCAGGCCCAAGAGACACCCCCTGGAGAACTCCCACCCCTGTGCAGCCACCCCACCCCAATTCTTCCAATTTTGTCCCTTCCTTCTGCATCTCAGTCCCTCCTGGGTCAAATCTCAGCCCTGTGACCTGACAGCTGTCATGGGGCCTCAGCGTCCAGCCTCCCTTCATATCTACGACAGGGAGGGTTAGGATTCAGTGAAGGGATGGAAAGGCCTGTGCAGCTGAGTCTTTCTATGCCTTGATCTCTCCCCCACATCCTGTCCCCATCCTGCCCCATCCCCCTAACTCCAACTCTTTCCTGACACCCCCTCTCCCCTCTTACGGTTCCTATCCTGGCCTCAGGCAGTCACAAATTAGAGGTGAAAGTCGGGGGGGACTCCATGCTTGCCCGGCTTCTTCGGAAAACCATCGGGGCCCTGAACACCTCCTCAGAGACAGTGGTGGAATCAAACAACCTGCGTGAGTGATGCTACCCATTTCGCTCAGAGGAACCGAGGGCTGGGGGGCAAAGAGTCGGGGGACGGGGCCTTGGGTGTGGTGAGATGGGGGTCAGCATGCTTGGGGTGGGGAAATCAGAGCAGGAAACATCAGGTCACACTTGAAGAATTGGAGGGAGACAGGCTGGGGTCAGAGGGGGCTGGAGGCTAGGGGCTGAGGCCTTGGGGCCCAGGGGTCTCAGCCTTCTGGAGCAATGCTGTCTAATAGAACTTTCTGCCACAATGGAAATTTTCTACATCTGTGCCGTGTTGAACAAATAGCCTCATGGGCCTCACAGCTGCGGCATTGACAGCACAGCCCTGGAGGGTGAGGGGCAGCCAGGAGGAGAGAGGGAATCCGAGACCTCACCTGCAGTCCCACTGGGATGGGGAATTCGACCCAGGGCTGCCCTGCCGTTGGCTGGCCCTGGCCAGACCCCTGACAGGCCTGCCCCCTCCCCCAGCCTGCCTGCCCCAGCCTGTGAGCCTGGATGCCAGGGCCTACTTGAGGGTTGCACTACCCATCGGCCTGCTAGTGTGTCTCTGCCTGCTCCAGGCTTTCGGCTACCGGCTCCGGAGGGTCATCGCAGCCTTCTACTTCCCCAAGGTGCGCCCCTCCCTGACCTCCCACCCCTACACATGTGCACACACACCAGCCAGCTCCCCAGCAACCCCATCCTTGGGGGATCCTTCCTGCTCAGCACTGTCACTATCACTGACCCCTCTCCCTGGCCCAGCGAGAGAAGAAGCGGATCCTGTTCCTCTACAATGATCTCCTGAGGAAGAGAGCAGCCTTCACCCAGCTGAGGAGGGCTGCCATCCTGCGGCGGGCACGACAGCAGAGGACTCCAGTAAGTCCAGGCCTCGGCTCCTGCGGCTCTTGGCTGGGTCTGAGAACTGTGGGGGAGGGGCATCTCTCTACAGTGGTGGTGCCCCCAGCACCCACCAAGGTCCCAGGCCTACTGGAGCTCAGTGAGTTCTGACATGATGCAGGCCAAGGGCCCCGGTCATCCAGGTCCTGGAGGTCAGCGCTGTGTCCGTCTCTGTACCCCAGGATTCGGCCCAGTCTGAGATACCCAGTGGACCATCTGGAAGCAGGCAGAAAAGGGGAATCAGATTTGATCCAGTCTGGTCAAAGGAAAGCAAGAGGGGTTCATCAGAAACGAGGGACCCACGGCAAAGTCACAGATTCTACTGAGAGGGCTGCAGACAGAAGCTCAGTGCAGTTCAGGTGGGGGGAGGCAGGTGGGCTGGGGGTAAGGGAGGCCTCCTGAGGGGGTATGTGGTATATGGAAAGAGCACGGAGTCAGAAGAACTAGGTTCTAATCCACACCCTCATTAAGCTGTGTGACCTCGGCCACGGTCCTCACTAGACCTCAGTTTTTCCCTCTGAATAACAGGGAGGTTGGATGGGTCTGTAAGGCCTGCCCATTAGAGATCAGTAATAGAATGGTGGTCAGGCAGGGGGCTCTGATGCCGAGGGCCAGGGTTTGAATTCTGGCCCCTCCCCTTATTACTACGACAACTGTGTGACCTTGAGTGCTTACTTAAATGCCACACCTTGGCTTTCCCCTTCTATAAAATAGAGTTAACTATTCCATCTGGTTGTTGTAAGGATTATATGTTTCACTCTCTTGCTGCAGGCACATAGCCACCTCTAGACACGTGTTAGTTGTCGTTGTGTGACCCTAGGCAAGTGATCGCCTCTCCAAGCATCAATTTTCTCACCTGAAAAAGAGATGGTGATATAACAATATCTGCCTTATATGCTTATTGTTTGAATTGAGTTAATTTACTTACAGTTTCTTAGTACAGGGCTCAACATTATAAAAAAAACAATGAGTGGCAGCCATTCTTATTTAATCAGCCCTAACAAAGCTCATAAAAGTGAGAGACTGTGTTTGCTTAACTTTTTCCTCCAGTGCCTAGATTCCCCCATGACACACAATAGGGGCTGAATGATGGAAAAATGAACATACTGTGATTCCATGACCCAGTCCTGAAGTAAACAGGATTTTGATGGGCAGATAGAAATGTGAAAGGCATTCATTCCAAGGTAAGGGAACAGAACGTGCAAAGATTCAGAGTCTAAAGGGAATGTCAGTGCCATGACTAGTCTAAGGTGAAACTCGCACAGAAGATGCAAAGTTCCAGAAGGGGTAAGCTGGAGGTGAGGCTAGAAAGGGACTAGATTGAAGGCCTAGCTCAGGAGTTCTACCTTTGTCTAGTAGGCAGTGGGGCCCCTGGAGTTTCCCGAGCAAAGAGTGACCTGATAATGTGGCCTGTGGAGAATTCCTGGTAATGGTTTGGAGAGGGGGGAGTATACATAATGAACCAGGCTTATGATTTGGAACCAGGGTACCTGGGTCCATCCAGGTTTGATTGCTTACTGTGTGCCTTTGGGAAAGTCACTTAACCTTTATGAGATTCACCTTTCTCATCTGTTAAGTGGGGAACACAATGGTGACAGTCTTATCTACCCTACTCACTTCTCAGCCCCACCGTTAGAATCAAATAAGATTTATGGGGGGGGCCAGCTCCTTTGCAAGTGGTTAAGTTGACGCCTGCTCCACTTTGGTGGCTGGGGTTCACTGGTTCATCTCCTGGGCGCGGACATACACACCGCTGGTCAAGCCATGCTGTGGCGGGACTCCACATAGAAAAACTAGAATGACCTACAGCCAGGATATACAACCTTGCACTGGGGCTTTGGGGAGAGAAAAAAAAAAAGAAAGAAAAAGAAGAAGAAGATTGGCAACAGATATTAGCTCAGGGCCAATCTTCCTCACCAAAAGAGCTTTTAAAAAAAAAGAGGGGCCGGCCCATGGCCGAGGGGTTAAGTTCGGGCACTCCGCTGCTGCGGCCCAGGGTTTCGCTGGTTCAGATCCTGGGCGCCGACAGGGCACCACTAATCAGGCCACTTGAGGCGGGTCCCACGTGCCACAACTAGAAGGACCCACAACTAAAACATACAACGATGTACTGGGGGGATTTGGAGAGAAAAAGCAGAAAGAAAAAAATAGATTGGCAACAGTTGTTAGCTCAGGTGCCAATCTTTAAAAAAAAAAAAAAAAGTTACGGGAAAGTGCAAGTGATGGTTATTGCTGTTGCTGGCTGAGAGAGTCCAGGCTGCATCCTCCCCCTCTCCATCACGGAGTGGGGAGGAAGGCTCTCCAGGACCCACTTCCATAGCACCCTTGCCCTCCAAGGGTCTTCTTTCCCCAATCCCGCTTCCTCCAACATGTGGGCATTGTCAGGTCTTTAGACTTCAAACAAGAAGCGCTGTCCAGTTCCCCTGGTACCCCTTCTTTCCAGCCTCACTCCCCAACTGGCTCTAAACTCTCCTCGCCTCCCAACAGCGCCACCGCCTGGTGGATATCCTGCACCGCCGCTGCCCCTTCTTGCGCCGCTGGCTTCGCCGGCGCTGCGTGGTGTGCCAGGCACCCGAAAGGCCGGAGTCCTACGTGTGCCCGACGCCTGACTGCGGGGCCGTGTACTGCCGGTCGTGCTGGGATGACATGCGGCAGCGGTGCCCAGTCTGCACACCCCGCGAGGAGCTCTCTTCCTCCGCCTACAGCGACAGCAACGATGACGCTACCTACGCGGAGTGAAGAGGCGTCCTGCTCGTTCTCCCACCCGGCTCCTTCCTGTTTAATAAAATGCCTTGTACACTCCTGCTGCCCGCGCTTCGCAGGGGTCTGGTACGGGATGGTGAGCCCGGCGCTGCCTGGCCCGCCTGATCCCCGCAGATCCGGGGCGCGGATGTGAGGCGGGCGGGCAACGAAGCAGCTAGGAAGGGGTCGGGAGCCGGAGCCAGGGAGAGGAGCTACGCCCAAGCCGGTCGGACCGGACATCGGCTGCCAACCTGCACAGTAGCAGGAAAGCGGCGTAGGAGAGCAGCGTACGGCTAATCGCAGTCGGGGGCTGGGTCCTCACCTCTTTAGGACCCGGCGCGCGACGGGGGCGGGGCCTTCCCGGGGGCGGAGTCGAGGCGGAGGCGGAGCCTGGCTCGGGACCGGGTGGGAGAGGGCGGGGCGGGGAGGAGCCTGGTGGCAGCGCAGGGCGGCGGGGTGCGCGAAGCAGACCCGGCGGCCGCGGCTCTTCGGCGCTCGGCCCAGCACCTGCTGCCCTCGCCCGGCCCCGGGCGCCGCTGCCATGCGGCTGGCGCTGCTCTGGGCCCTGGGACTCCTGGGCGCGGGCAGCCCTCTGCCCTCCCGGCCGCTCCCAGATACAGGTGAGTACCCGGCCGGGAGTGGGCAGGGGGGAGGACTGGGAGGAGGCGCAGGGAAGTCGGGAGGCAGCGGGGTACTGGGGTCGGCCGGAGACCCTGGGAGACCCCGACCAGAGCGCAGCCCGCCCTGGTCTGTTGTCACGGGCCGAGGGCTCGGCGACTGGGCGATGGAGTTGAGAGGGAAGGTCGGGGGATGCCGGCGCCCCCTGCCCGGTCATCTTCTGCATGGTCCCCGCGGACACTTCCAGGCTTCGGTACCAGGCACCGAGCGGCCTGGTCCAGCGCTCCCTCAGGATCGCGGGAGAGGGTAGCTGCTCCCCAGGACTGACGCCTTCGCTCCTCTGGGGCCTAGCTGACCGTTCCACCCGGTGCCAGGGCCCCAAGTGGACATGCTCGCAGGGTTTGGCGAAGAGAATTCTTCTGGCCCCTCAGGCCTGAGCGGCTAGGCACCCCTCATCGTGGTGCGGATGCCACCAGAAACCTGGCTGAGCGGGAGGGGGCCCGGGAGGATCCGGGAGAGGGGAGAATTGGCCAGGAAAAAGGCTGGGACACCAACTCCTCCTTGGAACTTTCACTTCCCGCTGCTGTCTTGGGCCGGGGGCCGAGAAGGCAGGCGGGGGTGGAGTGTCCGGAGGAGAAAGGGCCTTTGGCGGGGGGGGGGGGGGGGGGGGGGGGGGGTCGGGAGGAAGCGGAGGCTGTGGGGAGCGGGCGTGCCTGACTGGGCATAGGGTGTTTGGGGGCGGGGGGGGGTGGTGTTTGCACTGCTCACCCAGAAATGGGCGTTCCTGGCATCTCTGATGTGAGGAAAGGGGAGGGTGTGTGGGCACTGGGCCACAAGGCTTCGCCCAGTCCCGAGAGGGGGCATTCCTGGGGGCGACGCTTGACAGGGAGTGGGAACAGAGGGAGGGTCCCTGTGAGAAGCTGGGATTGGCCTGAGGGGGACAGGGAGGGGCAAGCTAAACTTCTTTTTCTGAGGACTTGTGGATGGTTTGGTGCGACGCACTTGAAGAATGGGAGAGAAGCTCCCCTCCCTCTAGTATTCTCCTTGAAGTCCCAGCATGCAGTGCAGGAGTCCTTCAAGCAGAGAGGGGCCTTGACTGCTGGGAGCCGGGTGGATCAGAGGGTACCAGCCACCCCAGCCCTTGTGCTGATTCTCTCAGCACTCTCTTGGGGTGTCCTTGCAGGTGGCACTGAGGAGGAGCAAGGAAGGCCGGAGAGAAGGATCTTGGAGCCCCAGATCCTTCAGGACAACCTGACATTCAGCCTAGCAGAGGTGCTTCAGGTGAGCCTCGCTCTCCCCTCACATAAAGAAATACGCCCCCCACAGCCCGCCCCCCCACATTACCAGGTGTCTCAAGGCAGAGCTTGGCTGAGGAGCAGGTGAGTGGCCCTCACTGTATCATGGCGGCCTCTCCCGCTACACCCCAGCACCTGGCTTCACTTATTCCCCACTCCCCTCTACACACACATCTGTCTGCTCAGCCTCACCCAACCCCTCCATCTCCATTGGAGAGATCTGAGGCCAAACTTGCTTTCTTGGCCTCACGTTATCGGTTTTCTCAGTGGGGGGACTTGGAGATGGTCAAGGCCTCACTCAATGTCCCCCCCTCACCCCCCAATTCTAAAGCTGAGTCAGAGGAAGGGCTGGGGCCTGCACTGGGTCCTCCTCAATGCTTCCTCTCTAGGCAGGAAGCTGAGAAGGGGCGGCTCAGATACCTTCCTTGACCTCCCCACACAACCCCCCAGAACAATGCCCCAGGCCAGGCAGGGCTTCCTGGCCCCTCCCTCGGGATCCCCCCACCAGTGATCTCATCGTTGGTGCTCTCCTGAGATTTTCTGGTTAGAAAGGATAGGAATTTCGGGTAGGGCCAGGGAGGTGACATGCCCTCTGGTGCCCACAGACCAGTCTGCCTGAGGCTTTGCGGATCAAATTGGAATTGGATGGTGAGAGTCATATCCTGGAGCTGCTACAGAATAGGTAATAATGACAGTGGTAACACTGATAATAATAATACAGCTAACAACTTATATAGCATTTACTATGTGCCAGGTACTAAGTGCTTGAACTCATTTAATCCTCATAACATCCCTATAAGGTAGATGCTATTATGTATTATCATTGTCCTCATTTCATATATGAAGTCAAGGCATAGAGAGGTTAAATAACTTGCCCAAGGTCACACAGCTGGTGTGTGGTGAAAACCAGATTGGAACCCAGACAGCCTGGCAGAGTTTGTGGCCCAACCATTATACTCTGCTGCCTCTGGGGGAAGCAGGAAGGTTGAGGGACTGGCTGGCCCCCAGCCACCCCTCTATGACGTGCAGGCCTCAGGCTGTCACTGAACCATCCTGGGAGGCAGCTAACACTGCCTTCCTTTTTCTTCATTCCACAGGGAACTAGTCCCAGGCCACCCAACCCTGGTGTGGTACCAGCCTGATGGCACCCGGGTGGTCAGTGAGGGACATACTCTGGTGAGTCAGGTCCTCTTCTGCCCTATTTCTGGCCTGAGAGAAGAAGGGAGGGGCAGTGGAGGATGCCATCCCTGGAGAATGTGGGAGGAACGTGGCCACAGGAAGCTCACCCACAGGCCAGTCTCCTGGGCTCACATCCTGGCCTGGCCTGCAAGTGGGCACTAATGTCTCTCTCTGTAGGAGCACTGCTGCTACGAAGGAGGAGTGCAGGGCCATGCCAACTCCTGGGTCTCCCTCTGCACCTGCTCAGGCCTCAGGTACAGGGGGCGGAGTCCATGAAGATGGAGACAGCGAGGGGGCTCATGCGGAAAAGTTTTCTGACTTCCTGCATCTTTCCCTAGGGGCTTGGTGATTCTGTCGCCAGAGAGAAGCTACGCCCTGGAGCTGAGGCCTGGGGACCTTCAGGGTCCCCCCATCATCTCCCGGATCCAAGACCTCCTCCTGCCAGGCCACACTTGTGCCCTAAGCAGGCGTGCATCTGTGTCCACTCGGGTTCCACCAGAGCGCCACCTGGGACGGAACCACAGTCACCGGGTGAGGATGAGTGACAGGAGGGCTGGGCTGCTGTGTCCCGAGGGCTGGCTCCCCTGGACCCTCAGAGCTGTTCACAGTAACCACAGCTCCTACTAAAGGAGCGATTTCCACATGCCAGGCACTCTGTGAACATTATCTCCTTTATTCTTCCTGGCAATCCTGGGAGGTAGGTCCTATCAATAGCTCTATTTTAGTGAGAAAACCAGCTCAGAGAGGTTAAGTGACCTGCCCAAGGCCATTCAACCAATAAATGGAATATCCAGGATGTAGATGCAGATACTCAACTCAAACTCCTCATGTCTTATGATTCCATATGCAGAGAGCTCTCACTTAGGTATAGAAAATACAGTTACCAATCGTAAAGCAATAAGAACCCACTTTCCTAACTTGTAAAACAGGGATAATAAACTACTTACCTTACAGATTTGCTTTGAAGATTAAATAACTCAGTATATATGCAGAGTGCTGAGAACTGTACCTGGCAGATGGTATTTGATGGTGTTGGCTATTATTATTATTATTAAAATTTCGGGAAAAGCACTGAATTTGGAGCCAGAAAAGCAGGCCTCTACTCCCAGCTTCATAACCTACTTCTTAGTCGACATTGGGCAGGCCCCAGGCCTCTCAGACTCTCAGTGGTTCATCTGTAAAATGGGCTCTTCACTCTCCTCAGTGTGACCACACAGGGTGGGAGTAGACACCGCTTGGTCAGCCCTGCGCGGCTGCTGGCAGTGAGTGGTGGGTGTGCCTGATCCTCCTTCCTCTTGCCCACAGCGGAGGCGGGATGTAGTGACAGAGACCAAGATTGTTGAGCTGGTGATTGTAGCTGATCATTCCGAGGTGAGCTTGCTGGCCCCTGCATGTCCTCCCCTGACCCCTGCCTACCCTGCCGCCTGTCATGGTCACCTCTCTTGACCCACAGGTCCAGAAGTACCAGGACTTCCAGTACCTGCTGAACCGCACACTGGAAGTGGCTGTCCTCCTGGACACAGTGAGTGTTGGGCTGGGCAGCATCCTTACAGCCTCCTGACCTCGGGAACCCCTCTCCTGAGCCCCAGTTCTCTTTCAGTTCTTCCGGCCCCTGAATGTCCGGGTGGCGTTAGTGGGCCTGGAGGCCTGGACCCAGCGCGACCTGGTAGAGATAAACCAGGACCCAGGTCTCACACTAAACAGCTTCCTCCGCTGGCGCCAGGTGGACCTGCTGCCTCGATTGCCCCACGACAGTGCCCAGCTGGTGACGTAAGACCCCCAGGCTCAGCCAGTGGCCTGGCCAATTTCATACCCACCCTCCCCACCTGAGGCCTTGAAGCCCTGGCCACCTTGGCTTGTGGCCTTGACCTTTGACCTCTCAATCCCACAGTGCTACTTCATTCTCTGGGCCCGTGGTGGGCATGGCCATTCAGAACTCCATCTGTTCTCCTGAATTCTCAGGAGGCGTGAACATGGTGAGCTATTTCCAAATCTTCTCCCCATTCCCAATTCAGCTTCTCCCAACTGTGGTACCATTTATTCACTAAAACCCCCTACAAAGTTACCAACCCCAAAGCTGTGGGTATAGAAGGTAGGGGTGCATGATGTGACCTCTGCTGTCAGGGCACCTCTCAGTTATGTCCAGTTCATCCATGTACACGGTCTTCACCTATGGGGTCCTCCCATTTCTTGGGGCAGGAGGGAGCAACTGGGGCCCAAAGAACAGAGGTGATCTCCCAGGGCCACACAGTGAGGGCGGGAGAACAGGACTGAGCTAGAACCCAGGTTTCCTGCCACCCAGGCCTGGACTCTCCTCCTACTTTAGAAGCAATTAAGGAGGGAGGCAGTCCCTGCTGAGTGCCCAAGAGGTCAGATGAGAGAACAGGAGCAGTCAGGCTGGTGCTGGACCTGGGGTACCCCTCCCCAATGACAGGACCACTCCACAAGCATCCTGGGAGTTGCTTCCTCGATAGCCCATGAGTTGGGCCACAGCCTGGGTCTGGACCACGACTCCCCTGGGAACAGCTGCCCCTGTCCAGGCCCAGCCCCAGCCAAGAGCTGCATCATGGAGGCCTCCACAGAGTGAGTAACTGCAGGATGTAGAGAGGGGATGGGGTAGGGGGCAGGGAGCCATCCGCAGTTCCAACCTTCCTTGCCGCCCTCCCCAGCTTCCTGCCAGGCTTGAACTTCAGCAACTGCAGCCGCCAGGCCCTGGAGAAAGCCCTCTTGGATGGGATGGGCAGCTGCCTCTTTGAACAGCTGCCCGGCCTGCCCTCTATGGCCAAAGGCTGTGGAAACATGTTTGTGGACCCGGGCGAGCAGTGCGACTGTGGCTTCGCTGATGTGAGCCCCTCCCCCAGAGCCTGGCCCCACTCGCTTCTGTGCCCTCACCCTGGCTCCTTAGCCCTCTCCAGCCTCCCGAGCCCCTCTCTGGTCCTGAAGGAACCTCTCACACCTCGGCCACCTCCCTGTCTGCAAGGATAGCACAGGGATCATCACATCTAGCTCTCCCTCGCCGTGTGGCTGTGGGCGCCTTCTGGGTTTGGGCTCTGGGAGGAGGGGTGGGGGGTGGGCTCTCAGGCCCAGGCTGCTCTGATGCTCGGCCCCTCTGCCCTTGCCCACAGGAGTGCACTGATCCCTGCTGTAATTACCTCACCTGCCAGCTGAGGCCAGGGGCACAGTGTGCATCCAATGGACCCTGCTGTCAAAACTGCCAGGTAGGCACAGACTCAACTGGCCCCCCAGAGCTCGCCCGCCAGGGGCCAGGCTGGAAAGGGTCATTCTGACTCCCAGGGCCTGGCTGGATTTGCACCCACACTGATGCTCCTGCACCCTCCACAGCTGCGCCCGGCTGGCTGGCAGTGCCGCCCTCCCAGAGGTGACTGTGACTTGCCTGAGTTCTGCCCAGGAGACAGCTCCCAGTGCCCCCCTGACATCAGCCTGGGGGACGGTGAGCCATGTGCTGGTGGACTGGCCGTGTGCATGGAAGGGCGTTGTGCTTCCTACGCCCAGCAGTGCCAGGCTCTCTGGGGACCTGGGGCCCAGCCGGCCACACCACTTTGCCTCCTTACTGCCAACACTCGGGGAGATGCCTTTGGGAACTGTGGGCGCAGCCCTAATGGCAGCTACATGTCCTGTGCCACTAGGTAAGTGAGGAAGCCTGGATCCTCCCCTGGGTTTGTGGGAGCCTTGGCCCCACTCCCACTGAGCCTGCACCTCTTCCCTCACCCAGAGATGCCATTTGTGGGCAACTCCAGTGCCAGGGGGGTATGGCCCAGCCTCTGCTGGGCTCAGCCCAAGATCTGCACTGGGAGACACTGGAAGCCAATGGGACCCAGCTGAATTGCAGCTGGGTACACCTGGACCTGGGCAACGATGTGGCTCAGCCCCTCCTGACTCTTCCTGGCACAGCCTGTGGCCCTGGCCTGGTGAGCAGCCTGGGTGAGCAAGACCAGGTGGGGAGGGATGTCCGGGCCATGGTGAGCAGTGTCCAGGCCTCAGTGTCTGTGGAGAAGGCACAAACTCCAAGGGGAGTGCAGATTTTACTTCAAGTCATCCATGAGCCTCCCCATCTATAAAAGGGGGTGTAGCCTGAGCCCTGTTGGCCTCCCAGTGCCAGTAAAGCTTTGTGAGAACGTGATCTTTGCTCTTCTCTCCCCATTGGGCAGGTGTGTCTCAACCGTCGATGCCAGCCCGTGGATCTCCTGGGAGCACAGGAATGTCGGAGGAAATGCCATGGACATGGGGTGAGCTGGCATAGGGGAGATGGAGGGGGAGCAGGGAGCCTCCAGGGAGAAAAAGGATGATGGGCTTTAGAAACATATATACCTGGGTTCTAATCCTTGCTCTACCATTGCCTAGCTGTGTGACCTGGGGCAAGTTATTAACCTCTCTGTGCTCAGTCTCCTTATCTATCCATTGGGCATAATAATAGTACCCACTTCCTGGGGTACATGAGATGAGTATGGAAGCTTCTAGCACAGTGTCCAGCATATAGGAGGTACTCACAGTGTTAGCTCGATCTACTTTCTCCTGGCACGGACAGTGACTCCTCCAGAGCTCCGGCCCTCTCCACCCCACCATCCACAGCACACCTTCCAGGTGTGGACATCTGAGATCTTGAAAAGCTGGGGACAGAGTGCAGAGCCCCTCACTGCTCAACCTATACCTCCTAGGTCTGCGACAGCAATAGGCATTGCCACTGTGAGGAGGGCTGGGCGCCCCCTGACTGCACCACCCAGATCAGAGGTAGCGCGGGCAGGGGGGCAGGGGCTGCAAAGCGGCCCATCCTTTAACCCCCTCCTTTTCTGACGCCTTCACTCCTGGTTTCCAACTCGCTGTGACCCCTGACCCCTACACCTTCTCTGATCACTTGACCTCATGCCCTGCCCCCGCCCCTCTCTGGGAGCAGAGTTCTTAGTCCTGCCCACCTCCAAACCCGCCCTCACCCCACAGCAACCAGCTCCCTGACCACAGGGCTGCCCCTCAGCCTCCTGTTGATGGTGGTCCTGGTGCTGCTTGGTGCCAGCTACTGGCACCGTGCCCGCCTGCGCCAGCGACTCTGCCAACTCAAGGGACCCAGCTGCCAATACAGGTACCAGCCTCCCTGCTACCAGCTCCCTAAACACCTCTGTGGAGGACAGCGGCTCTGGAGCTCTGCCCCCACCCCTTCTGCAGCCCCTGCCACCTGGTTCTGACACCAAGCCCCTTGGACCACACCCTACACGCCTCCCTTCCCTACACGTGCCCCGTAGCTCTTCACCGCACACGTAGACCTGTGTAGGGCCGCTGGGATGCTAAGGCCATTTCTCCCCAGGAACCCCTGTGCTGGGTAAGAGGGGCCCCCCGAGACTGATCCACTCCCCCTCCTCACCCCTGATTTGGCCTAAACACACGAGTTCCTCTCCAAGGGGCTGCAAAAGGTTAACCATGTACTCAAGGGTCACATATGGATGGAGAAAAGAGTCTGAGGCTGGGCCCTCTCCCTCCTTGTTCTTCTCCATGCTCAGGGCAGCCCAATCTGGTCCTCCAGAACGCCCAGGACCCCCGCAGAGGGCCCTGCTGATCTCAGGCGCCAAGGTGAGTCCTGGATGCCAGAGGAGAGAGGGACCCACCTTGGTCGGGCATCCAGCTTGGGCCCTGGGGTGGGGGGTATTGAAGGTTCTAGACTCAGAAAAAGACTCACATTGCCCAAAAGCCAATCAAAGGAGTCAGGGCCAGCCCTCCCCTCCCCTCCCCTGGCTGCAGGCGAGAAGCAGAGTCCAGCCTCGAGTAGGGAGGGGCAGTCACCTAGAGGAGGGTCTGCTGAGCTCTTTGAGCTGGCCAAGCTGATGGCTTTGAGAGGTGGGTCTACCTGTGCTCCCAGCAGTGGCCTCTGGAGGGCAAGGGGGGTGGTGCCCAGAATGGCTTTCAGTGTGCCAGGACCTGAAGAGGCCCAGGTCACCATGTGTAGAAGGGCTGGTGAGTGCCCCTGCCTTGAGCTCTCTGGATCTGATGACAGGAGTATGTGTATGGAGGTGGTCTGCATGCCCACCCCACCACTTGTCACCCCCTCTGCATGCCACTAAATAACTCTGCATTCACAGCCCCCACTGTCCCTGGGACCCTGGCCACCCCTCCCTGGGCACTAACCCCTCTCTGCCCACATCTGTCTCTCTGCTCCCCCCCCTGCCCACTCTGTACCTGCCTGCTCCTCCTGCTCTCTTGGCAGACTAGTGCTCTTGGCTTCCCGGCCCCCCCCTCCAGGCCGCTGCCTCCAGACCCTGTGCCCAAGAGACTCCAGGTAAATCTGGGCCAGGCCCCACCCTGGCCCAGGGCTGGTGGGAGGCTTGGTACCCAACTGCAGTTCTCATCCCTGTTCCCTGCCAGTGGTGCCCTTCATTAGAGGACCAGGGTACCCCTCAGCCTTCAGACACACTGAGCCCCAGAAGCAGCAAAGGGTGAGCCTCCTGCCTTGGTTTCTACCACCATCTAGTGGTCAGTGGCGGGACTGCAGTCGGCTAGGGACACCACTGGTGACCCATACCTTCCTCCTCTGAGGCATCTGCTGGCATGCACCCAAGCCCTGTGTGCATGTCTCCATTCTCTCCTGCCCCCTGGCTGACTTTGCATGTTGACCTGAAGCCCTTGGGAGAACCACTGCATGCCCACTGCCCCTGGCTGTGCTCTCACAGCTACTGCACCTCTCTCTGTTCAGGCTGAGCTGGCTGACCGACCCAATCCCCCCACTCGCCCTCTGCCCGTTGACCCAGTCGTGAGGCGCTCGAAGGTAACAGTGGGGGGAGAGAAGGGCACAGCCTCTCCCCCTACCCAGGTCTCTGGTGCTAGTGGCTGTGGCGATGGTGGTGGCTGTGGCGATGGTGGTGGCCGTGGCGAGATGCCTCCTCCGTGCCTAAGGGCACATACCCAGTGGTGTCTTTAATGGTGACAGGTTTGTTTGAAGACAAAGGTGACCTCTGGTGCCGCCCTCCTAAGCTGGTGTTCCCCAGCACCAGTGCATTGGGGGCGGGCAACATGATACCCCCTCCCAAGCTGGCCTCCTGCCCTCTCTCTCTCAGTCTCAGGGGCCTGTCAAGCCCCCACCCCCGAGGAAGCCACTGCCTGCTGACCCCCAGGGCCAGCGCCCTTTGGGTGACCTGCCTGGCCCAGGAGCTGGAATCCTGCCCCTAGTTTTACCCTCCAGGTGGGTGGGGAGGGGCGCTGAGGATGGGTGGGCAGGGCAAGCTGTCTGGGGAAAGGGAGACCTCTTACCTTTTTTCTTGGCTTCCCGCACCCCAGGCCTGCCCCGCCGCCCCCAGCAGTGTCCTCGCTCTACCTCTGACCTCTCCTGAGGTTTCGCTGCCTCCAACCTGAATTTAGGACTTCAAGAGGGGGACCTGTCCCCTGCGGTCCCCCGCGATGACCCAAGGAGCCAGAGCCTGGATGTGACGGAGCAGGCGTCTTAAGACACCGGGCACCTCCTTGCGCTGTCGAGTTGCAGCTAGGAGTTGGGGAGGGACTGGGCGCTGGACAGGGCTGAGGGAGGGGCGCACAGCCTGTCTCTGCTCAGTTGCAATAAACGTGAGATCTTGGGAGCGCGCCTCGGAGTTTGTTGGCTCAGGGAAGACCAGGTCGCCCCTGCTGCGGTTCCAGGTCTGGTCGCCAGGAGACGCTGCCGCCTCAGTCGAAGACGGGATAGGGAGGGCGAGAGTCCCAGGCTGGTCAGTGTGTGTCCCCCTGGGATGCTCGGGGCTTGTTTCTGCCCAGGCTGGGATGCCTCTCTGCGCAGTCCAGTACCACAGGGAGTTGTACGCCCTTTGCCACCCCTAGTTGCCAAGTCCTCACCCGCAACGGTGCGCGGCTCCTGGAGGCGGCTATCGACAGAGCGGCCAAGCTATTGGACTCCCCGTCCCCACCCTCTGACCAGTGGCTGGGAAAAGTTAATCTCGCTAGTGCTCTCAGAGCCCCGGAGCTGGGGTGGAGTGGGGCGGCGGTTCCCAGGATCCCAAGGCCCCGCACCTGCCTCCTCCCCCGCCCCCGCCCCCACCTGAGGGCTTGGGAACAAAGGTGCTTTGTATAGGCCGCAACCACCTCATTACTTCGTCTTCGGTACTAGGGCCGCGTGGGCCCTTAGCCCAGAACGAAGGTGTGGGGAGGAAAGGGACAGGAGCCAACCCCAAGGTAGGCATTAGATCTTGCCACCTACAGCAGGGGATGGGAGGGCGGGGGTAGTGTCCCATGAGGCGATTTGTCCCTTCTCTCCTCGCGCTATCCCTAGACGTGCAAAGAAAAAGAGGCAAGGTGCTAAGGTGTCTGGACGGGCTCAGATCCTCGCCTGTGCCTCACTTTCCTCTTTCTTGGCAAAGGCCTTGTGCTCCGATTTAAATCTTTCAAACTTCTAATAAGGCTTTCTACCCTGTATTAATGCAGACACGAAAGACAGGACCTCCCTAAAAAAACTCCTAGATAGTGGAATACGTCCCTCCTCCCTGTCCCCTCGCAATGCGGTCTTGCCTCCGAGCTTGGCTAACCAGGCGCGCGCTACGGCGCACAGAAGGTTAACCAGAGTTCGCTCTGAGCGGAGAGGCGGAGACGTGCTCCCATTGGTGGAAAGTTATCCAGGGGCGTGGCCAATGAGTCTCCGCTCTCCACCCCCCCTTCCCCCACACCCCCCGCCCCCTCGACTTTGTACCTTTCTCGCCGCGACTGCGAAGCGGGCCGGTACGGGCCGGACCAGATCAGACTGACCCCGGGGGCGATGCGGCTGCTGCCCCTGCTGCGGACTGTCCTCTGGGCCGCGTTCTTGGGCTCCTCTCTGCGAGGGGGCTCCGGCCTCCGCCACGCCGTCTACTGGAACTCCAGTAACCCCAGGTAGCCTGGCCGAACCTGGCAAGCGACAAGCCGGGCCTGCGCGTTCCCGGGCCGGGCGCGCGCCCGATACTAGCTCTGTGCGCGGCGCCGCCTGAGCCCGGCTGCGCGCCGGGACTCCTTTGTTTGAGCCGGCAGGGGAGGGAGGAGGGGGGAGGGGCGAGGCGCGCCCCACGTCTCCCCCCGCCCACATGTGTTGTGGGGCGGGCGAGGACCCCAGCCCCGAGGGCAGTCTGTGGGGTCTGGGGGCCAGGAGCTGGGGGGCCTCGGTCCGCACTCCGAGCCCCGCCCCCCTTGCTTCTTTCCTGGAGATCCTCAGACTCCCTCTGGCCCGAGCTGGGGCAGGCGGGCTTGAGAGGGAGGGAGGGGACTTAACTCTCGTGAAAGAACGTAGGTTACTCTCCTCCTGCTCATTTGGACTCCCCTCTGGCGCTCGCTCTGTCTCCTGATTTCATTCGGTATCTCTGCTTTCATCTCAGTCCTTATCGGTCGTTCTGTTTCTGCCCGGTCTCGTCCCGGCCCTTCTAGCTAAATCACCTCTGGGCAAGTCGTGTGACCTCCCTAACCTCAGTTACCTCATCTGTAAAATGGGCTAGTAATACCTGGTACCTTGGGAAATCAGGCGGGCTGACTGAGGTCATGTGTGTGAAAGAGGTGCAGGCTGTACAGATATATACACTATTATTTCTTTTCCTCTCTTGAGCTGCCTGCCTTTGAACCTCGATATTTTTTATTGTTTGCATCCTCCTTCCCAGTTCTCCCTGCCTCTCTCTGTTTGCTCCATCTGTTTTCCTTTCTGATTTTCTATTTGAGGTAATCTGTGACTCTGTTCACTTATTCACTCACTAGCATTTATTAAGCGTGTAGTGTGTGCCGGGACTTGTGCTAGGATGATGCTGAGGATTCGAGAGATGAAATCTAGACTCTCCCCTCTGGGAGCCCAAAGACCCCCTGGGAGGGGAGGCGTCCAGACAGGTCATTACAATACCAATACCATGTGATGAGAGCTATTGTCTTCCAACAATTCCTCTCTCTCCGTTCCAGACCAGTGCCTCTGAATCGCTTGGAGGACTTGTTAAAGATTCAGATTCCTAGCCCCCAGCCCTGAGGTTTCTGATTCATTCATTCAATCCACAAATATTTATTGACCACTGTCCTTGTGCAGGACACTTTTCTAGGCGCTGAAGATGCTGCGGAACAAAACATACAAAGGCCCAGCTTGTGTTCTAGTAGGTATGAGCTGAGCCCAGGAATCTGCATCTCTAATCAGAACTGCTGATGCAGGTGGTCCTTGGACCACCCATTGAGGGACACTTGGAGGCCTTTCATAAGTCAAGCTGGGCTGCGTGTATGGAGGGGAGAGGGGAGGTGGTTCATGCTATATTTGATGCTGTGGCAGGCAGCCTCTCTCAGCCCTTCCCACTTGGACTGCCTCTCCCCAGGCAGCTCCCAAGAGGTAGGGAAGGGGGTCCTGGGGAAGCTGAAGATTGGGTGATGTGTGGAGGGAGCTCTCCTCCATGTCTGGCACTTCCTTGTCCTGGCAAAAAAAGGAAGGCACCCACCATTCACTCCCTCATTCCTTTTTTTACCATGGCATTCTTTTCAGCATTGGGTTGAGGTCTAAAGGGCAGTCTTCCTCTCTCTGCATTTGCTAATGAGGATACTGTTCCCAGTCTCCATCTCTGCGTCTGTGACTGCACTGTGGACCCAGATCTGTGCCCCAGCTTCTTCGCAGCAGCCACCCACCTAACATTTATCAAGCACAGGTGCTATGCCAGCCCGTGTGTTGGGCACTGGAGCTAGAGAGATGGGTGACAGCTCCAACCCAAAAGGTAGAGTGTGGTGAGTGGCCTTCTCACATTGGAGCTCCATGGTTGTGGGCACTGAGTCGTTTAACCTCTCAGAGCCCATGAATCGAACCCGTTAATCAGTTACCTCATCCATTTCTTGCACTCTCCTCATCTCTCAAGAGTTGTCAGTCTGGGGAACTCAGGCCTTGCTGAGCTGCTCCCTCTCCAGCCTTGGGGAGAGGCCAGCAGGGACCACTGGGAAGGGGTGTCTCTGACCCTCGTGCCCAGGCATGCTGTTCCATAACCCCCTCAGCCGGTGCCTGCCTTGTGCCCACAGGCTGCTTCGAGGAGACGCCGTGGTGAATCTGCACCTCAACGATTACCTAGACATCTTCTGCCCGCACTATGAGGGTCCAGGGCCCCCCGAGGGCCCTGAGACGTTTGCTTTATACATGGTGGACCGGCCCGGCTACGAGGCCTGCCGGGCAGAGGGGGCAGGTGCCTTCAAGCGCTGGGTGTGCTCCTTCCCCTTCGCTCCCTTTGGCCCTGTTCCGTTCTCGGAGAAGATTCAGCGCTTCACGCCCTTCTCCCTTGGCTTCGAGTTCTTGCCTGGAGAGACCTACTACTACATCTGTGAGTGAGGAAGGGCACTCTGGCTGTCTCTTGGGGAAGGTGGGGAAAGGAATGGGGTACCTTGCCACTGCCACCAGTCAGGGCAGAGAGCCTGAGGTGCGGGGGAGGGAGAGGCCTGGGAACAAAGGCCAGGCCTGGGAGCTGGGAGAGGCTGGATCAGGGAGTGGGGTGGGAGGGGGTCTGAGTCCAGGACTGCGTAGGGGGACATCTAGAGTGAGTCTATAGAGAGGAGGAGAGAGAAGAGGAGCTAGGAAAGGGGACTAGGGGGATGAGGAGCACCAATGGGGCCCAGCACCTGGGTATGGGCCAAAAGTAAGGAAAAGCTTTCCAGGAACTGGAGGGAAGAGAAGCTGGGGGGTCTGAAACTGGGTCTGAGGCGTGCAAACTAGCCTGTGCTGACTTCTCTCTCCCGATTCCCTACCACCCAGCAGTGCCAGCTCCGGAGAGTTCTGGCCAGTGCTTGAGGCTCCAGGTGTCTGTCTGCTGCAAGGAGAGCAGTAAGTGGGTTGGGGCATGGGGAACACCTGGCTAGTGTGGGGCCCTTGGGAGTGAGGGAAGGAGTGGGGAGAATGTGGAGCATCAGACTCTGAGGGGCCCCGGGGAGGCATTAAGCCATGGCCTCTTCTTCCCCATTTAGCCTTGTGGGAGCTTCCACTGCACCCCTTTATGCTGGGCTGAGGGAAGGGCATCTCCAGGAACAAGGCCCTTCAACATCTGAGCTGAACTCCTTGTCTCTAGTGGCAATTTGGGGGAGACTTGGACGTTGAGGCTTAAAGAGGATGAGGTGATAGAGGATAGGAAGGGAGTGCCTGGTTTGGGAGACCCTGAGAATGGGATGGGAGTGAACAGCTAATGGGGAGGGCTGGAAGGAGGCTGCTGAAATGGAGGACTCACCAGTGCCGCCCCCTACACCTCACAGAGTCCGAGTCAGCCCATCCTGTTGGGAGCCCTGGAGAGAGTGGCACATCAGGGTGGCAAGGGGGGGGCACTCCCAGCCCCCTCTGTCTCTTGCTGCTGCTGCTGCTCCCAATTCTGCGTCTCCTGCGAGTTCTCTGAGCCAAGCCGACCCTTCCTGCCACCTCCAGGAGCCAGAGCCCTTCCAAGATTCCCTGGAGGAGGGACCCCTGCTACCTGAGCTGGGATTGCCAAGCCAGACAGACAAGATGGAAGAGTGATGGGGGCAGTCAGAGGGTCTGAGGTGACCCTGAGAGATACCGACTCCCTCCTCACAGGCTAAAGAGGAGCTGCAGGAGAGACAGCCCTGGGCTCTCTTGAGCAGAGGCAGGGCAAACATAGGGTCTCTATTAGCTGCTTTGATGGTGTCATGCCATCCCCCAGGAAGACTGGGATTTTGTGGGACTGAGTCCTTGAGCCTGCTGGGGGCCAAGGCTGAAGATCTGGGGACAGGTCGACTGCTGGATCAGAGCAAGGAAGAAGCCCAGGCCTGCTATCTGTGCCCAGTGCCCGGTGGGCCTCTTCTCTGGGGTAGCACCTTGCCCTCCCCAGGGGGTCACTCACTTGTCTTCTGTGAAGATGGACTTGCCATGTGGTTGAATTTCATGCCAGTTTGTATTTTTATAAGTGTCTGGACCAAACCTTCAATAAACCACCCATCTTTTTGTTGTTCTCCCCAACCTACTGCCCTCTGACTCCTTCCCCGATACCAGGACTCCCTGCGGCCTCTGCTCTCAGCTTGGCTTGGCCTGACCTCCATGCCAGCTGTGCCCAGGCCATCCATGCCAGGCCTCAGTAGGCACCCCTCTGGGCAGTGTGGGGTGGGTGCCAGCAGCAGCTGTGGAGCTTGGCACCTTCCCCCACCTCCCTAGCTGGCTTCCTGTGCTGAGGAGGGGGTAGATGCTCCTGACAGCCCACCTACTTGGGGCACTGCCCAAGCTGTGGTAGTACCAAGTAGGGTGTGGGGGCAAAAGCAAGGTGTAGTGGAAAGACAGCAGCACCTGGGTTTCTGAATACCTGGGTCCGAGAGCTGGGTGGCTGCCTCCTCCCCAAGGCCAGTCTGGGCGGTTCCAGGCCTAGAACTGGGAAGGTGGGGTCAGATCAAAGCCGCCTTCCCAGCGGCCTCTTTGTTCTTCGCGTTTACAAGGAGAAGGGGGTGGGGCCGAGGAGGGAGGGCCCCCTTTGCTCTCAGCCCCACACTGTCTCTCTACCTCTTGCAGGCGAGGCTATGATTCCCCCCCAACCCAACCGGGACCCTCTTTCTGAACGATGTTCTGGGTGGAGCCAGGGTTAGGGGTGCCCCTTCCCCCGCAGCTTTGCTCCACCCGCCCCGGTGCCCCGCAGCCTCCACTGGCACAGTGCCGGCCCGCCTGGCACTGAGCCAGCGATCGATAGGTGGATGTTGTGCTGATTAGCTCGGGCCGGCTGCGGCAGCGAGAGGCGGCGTGTGAACACGCGGGGGTGGGGGGGGGGGGTGGAGGCTGGGGGTCCAGAGACTGACCGACACCGCGAAATGCTGGACATCGTGAATCCCCTCCTCATCCCCTTGGACTCTTAGGTCAGACCCCGGTCTCTAGGTTAATTCCATTGCTCTGGCTGAGGCCTGGGGTGAAGGACACACCTTGGACGGAGCAGACACGAGTCGACTCCTTCCCCCATTCGAGGCCACTTTGAGAAAATGCCATATCTGTAGTTGCGTGTGCTTGCGCATTCGTCTGTCAGGGCCCTCACCCAAAAACACGATCTTTAGCGGGGGCGAGGGGCTGGGGTACAGAAAGAGTAGAGTCTGAGCTGAAGGATGAGCTTTGAGCTCTGTCTTCTGGTCCTGGGTTCCAGTTGCGTCTCTACTGTCCTCCAGGAGGGTGTCCATATGTAGCCGTGGAAACTTACTGTACTGCACCTCTCCAGTGAAACCCATAGGCGGGGCACGCTGGGGAGACTGGTTAGTAAACCCTGTCCTGCATTGAGGACTGTGGGGGTCTCACCGGACTCCCAGTGACCCCAGACACCCCACTCTTCGTGGGCCAGGCCGGGCGCGCTCGCTCCCGAGGCGGGCCGCTCCCGAGGCGGGCCGGCGCGCGGATCCGCCGCTGACAAGAACGCATGTGCGAAAGAGACGCGGGGCCCAGCCGGCTTTCCCGCACTCAGACACACGCCCTCACTCTCAGTCAGACGCGTACACTTGACACAGACATACGCCCTCGCCGGCCGCCAGGCTCCCTGCAGGTACAAGGGCGGACCCCTCGGCAGGGCAGCCGCGCACTTGCACGGGGGGAGGTCGCAAACTCGGGCCCGCCGGCTGCAGGCCTCAAGCCAAGCCAGCCCTCCCTACATCCACTTTCCTCCCAGCCTGGGCCCTGCGCGGACAGCTGATTCAGTCCCGGGGTGCGTCCCCATGGAAAGCGAGAGCCAAGTCCGCTTATGGGGCCGAGACGGGCCAAAGGCGCTGGGCGGTCCTCGGGGACTGGGCCCTACCCATGAGAAGTCCTCAGGGCGTGTTCCGGGGCGCGGTTCCAGGAGGCTGGGCAGGACTGCAAGTTTGGGGCGTCACCGATCTCCCCTAAACTCAGCGGCGCTAGACAGCCAAGGGTGGGGCCCTCAATTTGCTGGGCCTGCCCTAGTCTCTGCCGAACAATGCGACAACGCCCCTCGTCTTTGCATCACTCTATATCGCTGTCCCGATCCTGCTCCACACTTTCTGAGGTTTTAAACAGCCCTCTTTCCCTAGATGCTAAATCCTGAAGTTTGGGTCTTTTTATGGGACCCCTCCCTTTTTTCTTCTACCCTTTCATTAATTCCTTCCTCCCTTTCCTTATTCATTCAACAAACTGTGAGCTCCCAGCGCGTCGTTCTTGCAGTCGGCCACACCAGCTGGGGTCGTCGGGGGATCCCCAGTGGTGACGCAGTTGGAAAGAGGCATGCTGGCTTCCAAATAACCAATAGAATCCCGGGGCCTGGGGCATGAGGTCATCGGCGGTGATGCCCATTGGTTCAGGCCAGAACGTGAGGGGGTCCCCATAGCAACCGACGGTGCGTCCGAGCGTAACCTGGAGAGTGGTCTTTGCTTGAGCTCCAGTGGCAGCTTGGGTGGTGCTTGGGCTGGGGGCGGGGAGGCTGGGATGGAGCTCAGCTTCCCAATTCCTGCAGCCCTAGCCCAATCAAGCTCTGATCTTTCTTGAGATATTTTTCTCACTCAAAGTAAGGGTCAGTGCCACAACCCAAGAGGGGAGTATTGGCAGCAGCGTTGGGGTCCTAGGCGCGGCACCCGGAATGTTAATTCTGAGATCCTTGTGTTTATCTGCATATCGTCTGCATCTCATTTGCATTCTCTTCATTTAAGGTCAAATTGGGCAGACATCTCCACATCCCCAGCCCTGTCTCTTGTCTGTATCCCAAATCTATCCCTTAGCGGCTCTAATCTCTCTCAGTTGTCCAGTTCTTTACCCCACCCCTCTTCCCAGCCCCTAGTGTCTCCCGGGGTGGGAGGGGGCACAGCCTAGCTAAAAGAAAAATGATGAAAAGTCTGCCTCTCCTCTGGATGTTTGGTGACAGATGGGGAGGGCTGGTCTGTACTACCTAGAGACTAAATTGGCAAAGCAAATGGTGGGGGGAGGTGCCCCAGGCTGGGGTGAGGGTCTCTAGGGCCAAATCACCCACATGCCTGGCAGGGTGCTGGAGCTGGGGATGCCTGCTTCCAGCCAGGGGCAGGCCTGCCCACCTGTCTGGTGCCAGGGCAGCTTCCTTCCTCCAATTAAACACTAATGAGGTGTCATTAACCCTTACTTTACCTGCCAGCCCTCAGGTGAAACTCAAATTCATGGTCTCACACTGAGGAAGAGGGAGAAAGGAAGCCGAGAGGCAGTAAGGTCAGGGGACCAGGAGACAAGAAGGTGGGGCCAGAGGCATGAGCAGCAGGCACTGGTTATCCTCTGTGTGCTTCTGAGGGATTCTAGGCATGGGTGTCCCACCGTCAGAATGCATTTATTCTTCTATTCATCAATTCAACAATTATTTATTAAGCACCTCACCTACTCCTACTAACTAAATACCAGGCTGCATGCTCGATGCTGGGGATACTCGCTTCAATAAGACAAGATCCCTTCCCTTAAGGAATCTTCAGATTACTCAAGAAGACAAACTGGCCAACAAATAATTATAATGCCAAGAGCAAATGCTATTATAGAGCTATGCACAAAGTGCTGTGGGAACACAGGGAAAGCGAGCTGTCAGGGAAGGCTTGGATTTTGAAGGACAAAGTTTCTGGCATGGAGGGGATGTGTAGAACTAATAATTCTTGTGGGTTTGACTCAGTGTGGGTCCATGTTTAGCTGTGTTTTCAGGGCTGCTGGTGTCTGCCCTCCCAGAGCTGTATGTTTTGCATCTGTGTGTTTGTGTGTGAGTGTACGTGTGTTGTCTGGATCTCTGAGTGTCTGGAATCCCTTCTCCTGAACATACATTGTGGTTTTATTACAGATCAATGTTTGCTGTGAAGCTCTTGCACAGATTAGCCTGAACCTGCCCAGCCCAGGGGAGGGGAAGTGGAGAACTGATGTTGGCTCTTTGGGAAGGGGTGGGCAGGCACCATCTTCACACCTGGGGGCCCAGACCCTTGGCTCCCCAAGTGGCAAAAGGCTGGCCAAGGGAGGCAAAGAGTTGGACCCCAGGCTATGGTAGGCTGTGCCGAGGCTGTAGTCCCCTCTGCCCCTGGCTCCCCAGAGGAAACATGGGGGTTATAGCCACCACTCCCCACCTAGATCTCAGGCCCCCTCCCCTAGCCTGTTCTTCTGTCTGCAGAGAAGCAGGCCAGCTCAGACCTGTCTGCTGGCTCTCTCCCACTGGGAGCGGATCCTTTCCAGGGGACACGAGAGGGCTGGGGAATGCTGGGGCCTACTTGGAGGCCCCAGGTACTCCACCCTGGCCCTGGCTCTCTCCAGCCTGGATTCTCCCCGCCCACTTTGGGGTGCCACTTCTCAGGGTTTTGCCTAGACATAGCCATCTTTGCCAGGTAAGCCCTTGACCACTAGGCAGAGGGTGGGGCGAGAGTTCTGGCAGTGAGGACTGGCATGGGGGGGCTGGGGGGGGGCAGCAAGGAAATTGCAAAGCTACTCAGAGACCTCTACCCTCGTTCCTTCTGTCTCTTTGCAGCCACTAACTAGAAAGCCAAATTTTGGTGGCAGGAAAAAGAAGAGAGTCTGGATCTAGGGAGAGTTTTAGGGGTTAAGGAGAGGCTCTGAGGTCTGAGGAGAGGGTCAAGAACCCCTCCTTCCACACTGTCAAGAACGGGACTTCCTTTTTTGGTTGTAACTTCCCCTCCCCCTCATTCCATCTAATCTTTTCCTACCCCCTCCTTACTCCCCAAGCCCTCGGTTACCTCGCCCACTCTGACAGCTCTTAGAGAAGCTTGGAGATGGGGGGACAAATGGAAAGTCTAGTCTGGGTGAGGGACCTCAGGAGATAACCTCTCAATACCGTGATGATGAGGCCTCCATTCGTCAACCTCCTTGTGGGTCCTACACACTGTGCTAAGTGCTTCCCAAACGTGGATCTGAATGCTCACACAACCAGCTCCTCAAGGTAGGGTGTTCCTATCCCGATTTTACAGATGAGGAAGCAGTCTCAGGGAAGCACAGGGACTAGCACAGCCAATGAGTGGTAGAACTGGAATTCGAACCCAAGCCCA